CCCTCGTTCAGACACCACCGTATGAATGTAGCGTCTACGTCGAACAATTCCTGCGATGGCACCTCGCAGCTACTGATGGCGAGGACAGAACCTGGATCTTGCAGCTTAATAATTCCGAGGCCTGTCAGATATGCTATAACGGCTACTTTGAAAACGGCATGGACGCCTGTCTGCAGTGTCATAAGCCCTTGGCAGCCCAGCTGAAACACTTGTCACACTGTCGTGACTGTCTCAGTGCGTGGAGGCCACACCGCAGTGACTGCCACCTATGTTTTCTTGAGCCCAAACACATGGTACGAACCACACTCTGTCGTCTGAATACCGAGGTGAAGACGGCGATTGAGAGGATGAATCTCTATGCTAAAGAGCAGTATTAGATGCGGAGAGGCACATAGAGAATAACGCTATCAGCACAGCGATTCTATGATTATGATTTCTCACGATCTTCTCTCTCTCTTGATTCATTCGCTAACTGTGCACTGATGATGATGATGCCGTTAGAGAATAAATTACAATTCTGCTTTCGGTTTTATTTTGAGGAGCACCGGGAAAAGGGGTAAGCCTGTTGTGGTGCGAAGTTCGTGTCAGATTTTCTAACTTTCGAACATCGTCTCTTGCATTGCAAGAAATTATCTGTCGGTTGTTTTGCACGAATCTAATGAACACAATTTTAGAAAATTCATTTGTCGAAGTTCATTTTGTGAGGGCAAGCTGAAGATGGTTGGGACGCACTAGTCAGCTGATTACAACCAAGAAGTCTTGATTAACCCCAAACAACCCACACAGCTAGTGATCTATTAGGAATTAATTAAAAAGAAGTCTGTGTGTTTTATGGGCCGTCACAAAATCACACAAATAAATTAATCATTCATGTTAATCCTGTTGAAAGTACAAGGAGGCTTTCGGTGTCGGAAGGCCATCAACAATAGAAATAAAAAACGTCAAGGCAGATCATCCTCCAAATATTTATGTTAATCTAACTTGACTTCAACTGGACGAAATATATTTGGCATTGATTCGGCGTACAAATGTAGTGTTAATTCACTTGCAAACGCTTCCCATAGAAGAGATGGCTTTGGGGCTATTCAGTGTCATCCATGGGTAAAAAGTGTTCTTTTGATTTTCTTGATAGCCCATTGAGTCGGCAACTGTGTATGGCTTTTATGTAAGTCGAGGATTAACAGAATTTGGCGTTTTAATTTGCAGGTATAAGATGGGAGAAAAAACGAAGTCTACAGGTGACGTCTGCATAGTAATAAACGTCTGAGTCTTGGACTGAGAGCAGGTGCTAAGGCGTTATATGACCCCTCGGGCTGGTCTGGTGAATTTTTGTCTAAACTCTATTTTGATTGGCTGCTAAGCGATCTGCCTCACGTCTATAAAATCCCGCCAGAATGTCAGCCGGCGAGTGGACATTGCCTCCTGAACAATGACGCCTACCGCACGCTGCATGGGACAGCCATCTTTGCTGTTGTTGCTGACATTGCTGTGAGCCTTAGGAGCGGAGGGCCTCGTACAAGGTCCCAAATATTATGCGAACGA